CCCCCCCTCAAAAGAAAAAAAAAAAAAAAGAGAAAAAAAATGAAAGAAAAAGGGCTGATTTTTGTGTGGCCGGCGCAGGTGGCCGGGGGTGCACCCCCGTGCTGCATGGCCGGGCGGGCCAAGTAGCCTAGGTTATTATCAGTGAGTTATATCTCCATAAGGGAGTGGAGCTATATTTTCCCACAGGGGATTAGTTCACACTGGAGTAACCACAGTAAATGGTGTGACAGTGGAGTGGATTTTTCTGACAATTTTTTAACTGTCCGTCTGTCAGCGAATAAACTCTCAGTTTGTCAGTGGTTAAACTGAAAGTTACCACAGTAAATGGTCTGACAGTGGAGTGGATTTTCTGACAATTTTTTAACTCTGTCTGTCAGCGAATTAACTCTCAGTTTGTTAGTGGCTTAACTGAAAAGTTTAACGACTGGCATGCATTATGGATGATTTGACGGTGGAAGTACACCGACGTTGTGGGCCTCGCCGCCGCACCACTCACCGAATATGGAAAAGACAAACATATGGCTGGTGGGGGTGTAGGTGTAGGTGTATCTTTGCACGCTCTAGCGGGAGATTCATTCTCTTTTTGCACATCTGGTTAGTAGTTGCTGTGTGTTACTATCCGACCCAAATTCCAAAGCAATTGCTCAACTGAAAGACAATGCCACATTGAGGAACGACAAGCCATCCACTTGCAAGAGAAATGAGTGAACTTGGGAAAGATAAGACAAGGATTGATGAAGAAGAAGAAGAAGAAGAAGAAGAAGAAGAAGAAGAGGAAGAAGAAGAAGAAGAAGAAGAAGAAGAAGAAGAAGAAGAAGGAGGAGGAGGAGGAGGAGAAGAAGGAGAAGGAGGAGGAGGAAAATATATACACCAGTGTAGTCCAAAGTCAATGCCCCCTTCCTTTGTTAACACCTCCAACACCGCTCATCTCCCCAAAGAACTTCGATTCGACAATAGTATAATGATAATAATAATCATAATAATAATGATAATAATAATAATAATAATAATAATAATGACATTTAAAGAAAATGAGCTGAGATCAATGTCCGATTCCGCTCCTTCTTTCTGCTGACAGCACATGAGGTCCACCATAGCCGTGGCCTCCATCTTCTTCCACCTTCAAGGTGGATGGCTATGGAGGACTCTACCGGGACCAACTCCGGTGTTCAAAGGACAATGCAAGGCCTATGAGCCTCTCTTACTACTACTGCCACGCCTGCACTACGCTTGAGTGTGTGTTTTGGTGCAGTGGTCCCCACATTGGGGGGTTCAGGATGCAGCGTCCACTAGAAGATGAAGGTGCCGAACTCCATAGCCAGGTAAGTACCTTGGTCTCTCTCCCCCATATCCTTCTGCTACCTCCTCCTCCTCCTACAGGCTGCCTTCCACCACACCCGAGGTGGGGCGTCGGTCTCCTTCTCTCCTTGCCGCTGCTCTTGCTAAGCGCAGTACCCCCCAGCCCTCCAGCAGCCTAGCGCCCATTCGCAGCAGACCACACAAATGAGGCGGAGCGTCAAGGGCTCCGCCAATGTATGCTGGATGGACTTCCCTGGAGCGGCGAGTTTCCTTGGCCACCGCTTCTCCATTTCGCAGGGAAACATCATATTGCAGGCCTTCCCCCGTTTCGGAGGGAACATCATCATTGCAGACCTGAAATCTGCTACAGGCCTCACCGCCAGCTACTGGACTCCTACATTCTATGCTAGACCTCAAGGTCCCAACTTACTTTTGTCTTCTTCTGCTCGGCCTACCACCACTCGAGTTTTACCAGCCTACCCCTCAGCTACCCCTCAGCTACCCCTCAGCTACCCCTTTTTTCCCTGCGGCAGCCCTCCATGTCACAACCCCACGGGTAAGTACCAGGGCCGCGGGCCATTCCAAGCACACAAGTAGTAACCAGGCTGGTCACACACACTCTCAACACTCAGGCAATCAATCAGACAAGCACACAGAAACCAGCAAGCATACGTTTACACAGACTTAGAAAACTCAGCAGAAAGCGGGAAACTAAGCAAAGCACTCATTCCGGCGGCAAAACTCAGAAAACAGTTTGGGTTTTTGCAGTCTGAGATTTTGCAGGTCATTACAGGTAAAAGAACAGGGGGGAAGATCGTACGGCCACAAAGGAGGAAAAACGGGTGGCCACAAAGAGAAAAAAAGAAAAAAGAAAAGAAAGGTGCGGCGCAAAAACAAGAGTCTGGCCAGAACGCGAAAAGAAAACGCGAGTTGAGTGGAAAAGAAAATATGTGGAGTGCTGGGATAAATTAGGATGATTGGAAAACGAAAACATGGAATGATTGGAGAAAGAAGAAAAAAGTGTGCTGCTGGCGGTTGGAAAAAGCTTGGCGCGCAGTGCGGCGCCTCCTGGCCTGGGTGTGCTGGTGGTTTAAACTGCCAGTGCAGTACATGGCCTGAACCTAGTGGAGAAATCTTTCATCGCCGGTGAAATTTCCACGGGGCTCGGGGCTACGGGACAAACAACTAGGCCCCAAGAATGAACAACATACGTCAGATATATTCTCCGGTCTCGGCCAATAGATCTTTAATAGCCAGCGATTTTGCATCTGCAGGCCTCAACCCTCGTCGTGAAATTTCATGGCCCAGATACAAGACTTCAGTACAACCAAACCCACACGGAGGCATTGATATCGTACTGGTGATGTCCCAAGGAGATCAAGCACAATCTGTAAATGCTCTGCATGCTGCTTTTCAGACTCATCCAGGCAGACTACGTACGACCAAATTGTGGAAATACCCATGAAAGGGGGGGGGGGGGGGGGGGGGGGGTGGGGGTGTTGGGTTCAGTGCATGCTGGAACGTACAGGGCACATTTCAGAGCCCAAAGGGCATCATCATCACACATCTGGGGTTTTTCAGTTTTACCTCAATCTGATGGCGCACCCGGACTTCAGATCTATGTATCCCTCCGAAACACTGATAACTCAATCTTTTTTTTTTTTTTTTTGTCAATCTTATCCAGCCCGTCGTTCTTTTTTTACATTTCCATTTTCGGAGGGCGACAATGGCCTTTGAGATATGATCATCGAACTGGTCGGCCCGTGGGTCCTCATCTGCTTCCAGCCGAGTTCGAGTTCAAACTCGGGTCTGTTTTTCAACGGTTCAGGGGTGTCCCAGCGGAGCTAGGCCAGTTGGCATCTAGGACTGCTTAGTGAGTTCCTTGAGTTGCTTGTGAAGCTTGTGTCATCATGCTCTGCTGAAGACGTCCCTATAGATTCTGCCACGTGGAAGATTTTACTCTGTTGAACAAATAATCTTTATGGTGCGCATGTTGTAGCTCGCTGTGTACAACTCCTGATGGCGCCTCCTGAAGGTGTGAAAACTCAGTGATGTGATGACTGTTTCTCTCTCTTTAGGAGTCCCAACGGCCTGCTCGTTCTGGGAAACGAATCGCAGGTACATGCCTTCCTTCTGCATGTCAAGCGGATGTTCAGTTTCCTTTTCCATCATTGTGGTCATCTTGTTTTCTTTTCTTTTTCTTACATCCTCTTGCCCTCTCTCGCTCTCTCTCGTCTGTCCCTGTGTCCCTCTGCCCCTTTGTTCTGCTGTCCTTATGCCCCTCTGTTTGGCTCTCCTCTCCTTCCTCGGGTTCTTCCACACACCTTCCCGTCCCTCTTTTTCTCTCCCTGTTATGCCCTCCCTTGCTCCTCCCCTGTTTTCTTTCTCTCTCCTTGTTTCCTTTCTCCCTTACCCTTCACCTTTCATCCTTTTCCCCATCAGCGCCTTTGTCCGTCTCTTTCGCTCTTTCCTCACCCGATCTTTCACTCCTGTTCTTCCTCCACTTTCCATTTCTACCCCTTCCTCCCTCCCTCCCGCCCACATTTACCCTCCCCATTCCTGTGCGGTCTGTCCAGGTTCATGCGCCTGCCGTTCGTCACTTTTCCTCCTACTCCTTCCTCTCCTCTTGCCCCTTCCTGTTTCTCTCGTTTCTTCGCCCCATGCTTTCGCTCTCTCCTTGCTACTCAGGGCATACTCACACCAGCACTTTTACCGAATGCACTCGACTGCTGTCAGTGGACAGATGCATTGTACAAAGTCCGAACGTGATTGTACCCTTGGTCACTTTTAATGATCTGTTTGACTCATGGCGTGCTTTCGATGCTGGTCTGGCGGGACTGTACACTCAAAAATGTTGTGATAGCTGGAGTGTGTCTCTGGGGAAGAAAGGACAAGCGGAAGGGATGTGTGTTTCTGGGTTGTTGCTGCGAATTGGAGATGATTTCTGAATTTTTGGGTGCGGCGATGTGATGGATGGCCCGGGTTCAGCAGGAGGGAGGTATTTTTTTTCAGCCATGCGTGCTTCCATGACATGTCTCATGGGAGCACAGCATTCGTCAAGAGCCCTTAGCTGAAGCTGCTGCCACTATGGAGGATCGTAGGGCGAGGTCTCTGAACGGAGTTTCGGGCAGCCTAGGGTGCGTATTTCTGTTTGATACACAACCTTGATGATCATTAACTGACCCAGATGAAGTGGATAACCACCCTCTCCTCATGTTTGCGCATGGCTCTGTCTGGCAACCTTGTTCCTTGGCCTGCTCTTGTGCCGCTTCAACTTGATCGTCGGTGTGCATGCCTGCACTTTTGGGTTGTGGCTGTGGCCAGACCTGCAGCAGGTGAAGTTGCTCTTGTGATATATATGTATATATATGTATGTATATATCGTATGTATAGCCTCCTGATGAGTCGGTGAAACTCCAACGAAACAGTGTGTCACAGCCCCTCGTTTGTTGTCTTCTTCTCCCTTTCTCCCTCCCTCTCTGCCTACGGTTTACCGGGCAGCTCTGTTTTTGACTATATATATGTATGTAATAATGAATAAGTGGAAAAAATGCATGCTGCCTTCTCCCTTGTATGGGGGACAGCTGCTTTTTTACTACTCGATATTGTTCTCTCAATATTCTTCTTTATGTCACATGGCCTACCCCGAATTATGTGCTTGGGTTTAGGGGCATCGGCTACCGAAGGGAAGGCCAACTATACTACCCCTCTAAGTCAACCAGCTAACAACTACCCTGTGTGGGGCATTGTTTTTGGCGAAACCGGCTTTGCTTCACACTGGTGGCTCTTCTTTTCCTTCTTTGTTGTCTTTGCTCTGGTCCTCCACCTCCTAATTCTCCTCCTCCTCCTTCTTCAACTTCTACTGTTCTGCTTCTATTGGACGTCTAACGACCATTGGAAATTAGGTCATCATCATTCTTATCAGAAAACAAACATAAAATTCATTGTGACCATCATGGACAAAGCAGCACTGGAGGATGACAATTGTGGTAGCAAAGTGGTGTGACATGGAAGGATGAGGAGGAAGAGCAGAAGAAGACAAAGAACAGGAGGGAGAAGTGGATGATGAGCAGGATGGGGGCATGTTGAGGCCTGCCATGGCGGAGTAGGCCTGCGACTTAGTGGATCTGTGTCACTCTCTCTCTCTCTCTCTCTCTCTCTCTCTCTCTCTCTCTCTCTCTCTCTCGATGCATCTCTCTTGATGTTGCCCTTGATACAACTCTCTCGATATGGCACCCCTGATATGATTTTCTCGATATGGCTCTCCCTGTCTGTCTCTCCCTCTCTCTCTCTATATATATATTTCTCTATCTGTCTCTCTCTCTCTCTCTCACTGTTTCTGTATGCCTCTCTCTCTGTGGATGTGACTTTCTCTTTCTGTCTGTCTGTCTGTTTCTCTCTCTCTCTCTCTCTCTCTCTCTCTCTCTCTCTCTCTCTCTCTCTCTCTCTCTCTCTCTCTCTCTCTCTCTTTGACTTGCTCTCTCTCTCCATTGTGTGTGCGGCGTGAGTTTTTCTCTCTCTCAATGCCTGATGCCTCGTGCAACACCGTGCTTGTGACCTGCGTGGCACGGGAGAAAATTTGGGCACCATTCAACGGCCCAAAATTTTGGGTCGCTACATGGTGCTGTGCAGCCTGGATTTTTCTGGAGTTTGCAAGTGTTCCAGGTTCATTGGCATGGCTTGGGCCCATTGGACTGAATTAGGTGGGGGGCTGTGATTTCATTTAGGATTTTCAGTGGAGGGAAAAAGGCAAAAATCCAAGGATGCTTGGAATATTGATGATCACCCGTAAGATTAAGATTAGCCTTTGTCTTTTGTAATTAAAAAAGAAAATGTTTTTTTTTGGGGGGGGAAGGGGCCTTGGTTTTTACAATTTGTTGGACCTTTGATCCTTGCCACCGATTGATCTTGAGTAGCCTTGTGGAGATGTTATCGAAGAAAAAAGGAAGTTCAATTCCAGATTTAAAAATGGGGCTGTTTGTAGGTTAGTAAAAGCTCATAATGACACCCCCTGTTAGGACGAGGGTGTGGCCCCCATAACTTTTGCACCCCCTGTTTCTAGAGTAGCCCGTCTTCTTTTTTGGGCATTGCTTAATCTTCTACCAGACAGCAAATATATGATGTTTTGTCATTGTTTTCTTCTGACATTAGTGCCTTAAAAATTTCTCCTGCTTTGGATTCTTGTCCTCAAGAACAGTGCAAGGGCCTCGCTCCACTACTCACCACATACACAAAAGACGAAAAATATGGTGGTGTATCTTCCAATGTTCTGGCGGAAGATTCATTCTCATTTTGCACATTTGGTGAGTACTGGAGCCAGGCCCCAATTGTGCCTCTGGCTGGCAGCGTGACAGAAGGTTAACCATTTGTGGTGGCGTATACGCCGATGGCCTTCGCCATTGTAGCACGCATGTTATGTGGAGGGAGAAGAAGAAGCATCCACCTTGTTGGCTATGGTGCTGATTGAGTTTCTGCTTGTCTCTGTCTTTCGACTGTTCTTTGCATATGTTTTTTTTTTTTTTTTGGCTTCTTCTTTGTCTTTTTTTTTTT